TCTGTAGACATCTGATTATTACTAGTCATAATCAGTTGCACTTGGATCCTTGGTGCCTGTGTATGTCTACAAAGTCATCAGGTAGATTTCAATGGTAATGTTTATCACCTCTACTAATTAACATGACATAACTTTTTATGCTTCCTCCTCAAATACTCATTTTAAAAAATTTGTGTGTGTGTGTGTGTGTGTGTGTGTGTATCACACAGACCATCCTAAACCATCTTACTCAACTATACACCCACTTCCCTTATGTCACCCTCCCATAGCCTCCCTCCCCACACTAGAGCCCTAATACTCTATTATCCCTGCTACTGTCTGCTGTGATGTCGGTACCCCCAGGGGTTCCCCACTACTGGTCCATCTGGTGAATCTATGTAGATTCCTTGTTTTAAGAAGGTCAGCTGTTCCTCATCTAGCAGCAATGGGTTGTCAATATTCCTTTAGATAAGATTGGGGTCTGCTGTTCATTTTGTCAGTTCTATGCTGGGTTACTATCTGGGAGTCACTTGGGCCACCCTGGCCAACAACTCAAAAGAAGGTATTCCTATCTGGCATTGTTGCTTGTTATGTAACCTTTAGCTATACATATGAAATCTTAAAAAATTATATTGGCTCCTTTAATCTTTGGTTATACTTTCCTTTTGGATGTTTAAGGCCATACAGTTCCCCAGATAAACCAATTTATTTTTACTCTTAAGGCCATTTGAGGATCTGTTCCTCAGGGGTCACATGGGCATGGGAGGAGCCCCTGGCTCCTTTCTTTTACCAGTTCTACGTATGTGAAGAGAAGTCAAACGTTTTGCTCAACCATGGCTGCCTTCACTTGGAAGCATGGAGAAAATGTTTCCTCTGTGTTGACCCTCCTCTTTGTAGACTGGACACTGGTTGAAGTCCATTTCGTGGGGTCTCGTCGGCCTCCTTGATCAAGAGGACAGGTGACCCACCACAGTTACAGGACATTTCGAGAGATGATCATAGTCCCCTGGAACTAGTCGACCTTGGAGGGCAAGGAATAAAGACTGTCCTTTATGTTCCTCTGATCAAATAAGTATAGGCCTCAAAGTATGTCTGTTAAACATCCAAGAAGGTTAGTTCCGTAAGTCTGTTTTTTTTTTTTTTTGGTCTTTTTGAGACAGGGTCTCCCTGTAGCTCTAGCTGGCCTGGATTTGCTATGGAGTCCATCCAGGCTGGCCTCAAACTCACAGAGATATGCCTGCTCCTGCCTCCAGAATGCTGGGATTAAAGGCGTGCACCACCACGCCTGGCCCAATCTGGTACTTTTAATTACT